TTAGTATTAGTCACACCGATACGTTTCGGCTCTTTCCTTTGATCATCGAACCTCTCTCTTTCCGCCACTGTCTGTCCCTTTCTACGTTCACGCTTGGCTGATCGTCGCGTGTAACCCGAGATTCGACACCTCGCTTGGATAAATGCAACCACTCAACAGATCGAAGTGAACTAACTTTGCCAATGAGAGTAATGATAGAGCAACGAGTCCCAATCTCGGTTGCATTTATCCAGGTTTTACTGTACTTCGTAATGTTTTCACGACGTTATTGGTCTTCCTTTCCAACTTCGAATGTGACTGCTAGCTTGAGCGTCTGCGAGGTTTGTTTCGCTCTTTGTCTTTTGCTACATTCGAAAATAGGTCATGGTTCGTGGTCATAAATCTGTTATTCTCGATAACCAAGAGTAACCGAGGGAGACTCGTGTCGACCCTTTGAAGTCACCGAACGTAGAAAAAGACAAAAAGCCAAACAGACTTCGCAACAATCAAGTTGGCATGGCAGTCCCATTTGAAGTAGGAAAAGAAACAACGTTGTGAAAACGTTATGAAGTAGTGCAGAATATTACATGTTTTTCATCTGTGCAACGTGACAGTGAATAAAAATATTTATTTACATGAACGAAAATTCTGTGAAAGGTGAAAATGATCGTGTGGTTGAGTGAGTTCAATGATCTTGTCTGGAGATCAGCTGTTCTTCGAAATTTGTTCCCTCCTCGAATGTTTAAGATCGACATAATGACCCAGTGAGAATTATCTGCTTTTAGCATAGCAGGTTAATTTAGGAACGAATGGGTAAGTTTCATTTAAATCATTTTTAAATTTTTCTTAATTATTCCATTTCAAACATTTTTATTTGTTGTTTAGTGTTACGTCCCGGCAAAGAAAATTCTATTATCTCCGATTTCAAATGACGAAAGCATTAGCAATCATGAAATCAGTTCATTTACTGACCTCCTTAGAGTCACCAGCGTCAACGAATTCTTTCTTCTTCTCTAAACACTTCGTCGAAAAGTTGTGCCAATGCACCGACATTCCAACAGGTCAATACACTAGTGAATTCTTTTCTCAACCCATGCAAAACCAGCATTTTCGGCCATAATAAAAACACGATTACGGGCAATAGCGAACACAGTCGGCCATACAGTCGCGAGGTGCGCGGTCTCTCTGTCCGAGGAACGCCTAGTATTTTAAAATGCTTCGAGCAGAGTTCCGTGAATAGTAGTGTCACGCGAAAAGACTCAGTTTTCCTCGTTAAAGAAAGACCAGTTTCAACTCATTTACCGATAGAACCGTTAGTGAAAGACATTAAGACTCAGTGTACACCCATAATTTCGATCATCCGTGCGTCGAGAGGAAGGGAAAGAGAGGGCAGCGCTCTATCAAACTCGTTAACCGTTTTTGTTCATCCGGTGAGTCCCAATCAAAATCTGTATACTCTGTCCTCGGTTGTTAAGGAAATTGTAACATCTTTTCCGTTTGAAAAGTATAACAAATCGACTTTGTAACCAATCATTTCTTTGGGGTAATATATTAATAGTTATTTATTCAATTTTGCTAATTATTTGTTGCGTATACTGTTACGTTGCGCGTGCGACGGCGCAACGTAAAAAGGAAAGATAAAAATTGGAGGATACAGGTGGTTAAATTTCAATTAATTGGTTGGAATTCAACCCCCAATACCTACTTTCCTATTTTAGCGCGATGGTTGGTATCGCTGCCACCAGTCTCTAGCGTGTTAACGTTCTCGACAAATTAAAAAACGAAAGACAAAATTGATAAGATGTTAAAAGATTATAATTATTAGCCTTTCGTTGGGTTCGTTCAACGCTTGGTCCCGTACGGGACCCTCCTTGAATCTGAGTATGTTGGTAGGCGTGTTTGGCTGAAATGCGTGAGGTGTGTTTGAAGTAAATGGAAACTGTTTAACTAAATGAAACTGGTTTAATTGTGAGTGCAAAATACTGTGAAATGACAAAGTTAAGAGTTCAATAATTTAGAAATTCCGTTAAATTAGAATTACCAGTTTTGCAAAAATGTGTACAAGTGTAAAGATGCTTAAAATTAATTAACAAAATATATATATATGAATATGAAAACACTCTGATATCACAGTTGAAACATTAGACTAGTGTACCGGTCGCGTGAATCGATTATTACAATTTCGCTTCCTATATTTAGCTGTAAAATCGGCGGTTTCCGCCCGCGGTACACCCTAGCCTGAGAAATTCTCGTAACTCCCGAAAGAGCTGGACTAAGGTGCCCTTTAGATGATGGAGAGATCAGAATTTTGAAATTGTAATAAACGCAAAAATAATATTGAATATTGGATAATATCGATACCTCCCTCGTACGGTGGAACGATCTGACCTGAGAAATTCTCGTAACCCTGAAGGGCTGGACCAGATCACCCGTTTTGCCAATCAATGAACGTCGTGATCGAAAAATGTAATTGAAACGACTTACCGTTACACTGTATAATGCGAAACAAGATTACAATATTCGTTTGCTAAATTCTGTGTATTCGCCTGATGATCTAGAACACCAAAGAAACGGTAAGACGTTGATCACTGCACTTGTCGCGGCGGAACGAATTTAAACGGACGAGTACGTCGACGAGAGACAAACGAATAACGAGTTACGATTAATTACAATTTATTACGAAAACGATCAATATATGATTTACGCGGAGTGAAGTTAATACGAAAACTGCGCGAGCAAACGGTTTAAAAAAGGAAAGAAATGATAGAAAATTTAGGTAGAGGGAAAATTTAACGTGCGCGTCTGTGAGTCCTTGTTAAGAAACGGATTACTTCAACTACCACGGCACTCTGCCTCGCTACGCGGAGGACTTTACCGCAGAGGAAATCTATCACGAATTCCGAACAACTCTGTCTCTCGGACACACGGGCTCCCGATCACGTACCTGACGATTGATCGATCAAGAGTGACAAATTTCGTGCGCGATCGATGGCCGAAAGGCCCGACGCGTGAACATCGTCCTTGGAGGGGACGGTTTGGCGAATCGTAGCCCGTTTTCGGAAGTGTCGCGTGCCCGGTGATTGGCTAAGACGCGCGAGCTAGACGAAGATCTTTCATCCCCTTTCTTTGGTGTTCCTTCCTTTTCTTATTCGTCGCCATGATACATAGTTTCAACGGTTTCCAGAAACTATGCAGTATTTATCATTATACATATAATCAATTAATGGCATTATTCGAGATATGACTATTAGTTTAATTGGAATGCAGAATGAGATTTGAAATTGAAATATAAAGGTTTTGATAGGAAACCGTCATCCGAATGTCATGATCAAAATTATTCATTCCCGATTTGCAAAAGACAGTATGATTTAATATGTTTGAAAGCGGTTGATGCGCTTACGGTGGTTGTAACGCCGTGGCTAATTATGCAATCTGTCGCGCATTAAAACTATCGCCTCGATGAATTCGGTATTTCGCATTTTATGAATTTTAAACAATTCTAAATCTGGCGAACGTTCCTTCGAGAACGTTCCTTTGTTCAAATTTGCCGTTATCGCTAGGCAGTTCTTAGAATTTCGATACAATAGTGTTTATTGCTTCGAACGACCCTTGATTTTCGAACGGCGGTCGAACGTTCGCGACGTTCGCTTTCGTAAGGGTTCTCAATTCTTACTTTCATTGTTTAAATTTGTTTTCATCCATCCACTCTCTCATACTATCGTTACAATCAGGTAAAGATGATCCTTGTTGGACCGGCTGACGCTTTGTGCAACGGAGTGAGAAAGAGGTTTCTAACAAAAGAGTTATTACGATTTTCCCGTTTCTACGCAGTTACCAAGGGAAATTCCCGAAATGCGAAGCACTGGCTAACTGCGTAGCGCTGGTGTTATTGCTACGGCTCTCTCTCTCTCACTCGAGCTAACCCGAGTTTTTGTGCGTATTAGTCTCTTATGTTACAATGGCTGGCGACGATAGTTTCAAGGAGGGTCACGTAAACTATTGAAAAGTAGAAAATAGAAACGGCCTTTCCTCGTGTACCTCGCATGAGAAATTCTCGTAACCCTCGAAAGAGCTTGACGAGATACACGATTCCAGGGTAGAGCAGGTAAAGAAGAGAAAGCGATAGAGGAAGTCAAAAATAGAAAAGAATTAAACTCAAACTCTTCCTTTTACATCCCTGCATGAGGAATCCTCGTAACCTCGAAAGGCTTGACAAGAATGTACAAGGTTGAGGAGGAATGGAAAGATTGGCGGAAAACCGAAACACTCGCCTGTACGCCCCTTACATGAGAAATTCTCGTAACCCAAAAAGACTTGATAAGGGACGCAAGGCGGATAAATGTCAAATTTTCCGCCGGGGCGTAACAATACCCAACTCTGTATCCAACGAACGAAAGGCTTGTATAAGTCTAGACCGAATCCGAATCCCATAATACTATTACTTCATAAAAGGTGTTTAAGCGTTACGTCGGATCACAAACTTCCGCAGAGTAGTCGCCTACCACTACGCCTACTCCGTACGTAACATTAGAATGTTCAAAATTTCCTTCTTTACATTATGACAGGCGACAAGAGATTAGATTCCGTAATCATTTTAAACAACAACTAAAAATGTTCAATCAGTTCAATTTTTTTATTGTGCTGTGCCAACGAGGTGCCGAGCCGTTCGTTCGCAACCTACGTCAAACCCCGCTTTCATAGTCGATGCTGCCGCCCCTGAGCCCGCGCGCTATGCGCGCCCTGATTTGCCAGTGTTTTTCCTTAATAATTCAATAATGAAGCTTCATACAACATTTTCGCACAGGAAAATGTTCAGAATCACCCCAGCTACCACCCCTTCACGGGACCAACGCGAGTTCTGAAACACCCTGTATAAACGAAATGCTTGTGTTCCGATTTTCTTGTACTTATCTAGGTTTTTCTGTATTGGGAAATCTAAAGTGTCTTATTTCTGAAACTATAAATTTAAAAAATTTGTTAAATAATACTAATTTTAAACATTATGCTTATATTTACTACAGAAAAAGAAAACACCATGGAAAGCTATTTTCACTTCGGTACCGATGTGGGCTCTCATAATTGTACATTGTGGACAAAATTGGGGATACTGGACTCTAGTTAATGAATTACCGAATTACATGGACAAGGTGTTGAAATTCAATTATGAACAGGTAACGAATTTATTATTATACAGTAATGCCTTGAAAATTGACCGTGATTGTGCCTTGAAAATTGACCGTGATTGTGCCTTGAAAGTTAACCGTCGCTATTACTACCAATGGTTAATAACGTGATAAGCAGATCAAGCCCATCCATCCAGTGTTGTCAATCCATCCTTTCACTTTTATCAATGAGAGGAATATTGTGCCCGCAGGGCAACTACTTATTGGTACCTGTGAATACACGTGGTTTGCACTGTTACGTGCTGCGCGCGCGCGTGTATTTGGAACGTTACGAGGTGTAAGTGTAACATGTATGTATTGTATGAGTGTAAAAGTGTGTAATGTGGTAGTGTGGTAGTCGAGTAATGTGACTGCCGGTGTCATGTAGGCAGATCGTTTTATCAAACATGCCTCTTTTAAGAAATAAACCTTTAACATCTGGAAAGGAAACTCTCAGGTAAACAGGCCGCTTGCTCTTGAAATAAACAGAAGGCCCAGGGATAACAAAACCAAATGTTTTGGGAAAGCAGTAGGTCCACCGTAATTACACAACAACTGCAACCACTCCAAACTGTCACAGAAACAGATGGGCCCAGCCCGATCATCTAAATAGTAATCAGATCGCCCCTTTCTAATTAGTATATAAACCTGTTCGTACCAACATTCTGGGGCAGTACCGAAGTTCATCTAGTGTTGAGCACATCGTGTGCGATCGTGAACTGGTTGCTGTTTAGTGAGATCGGGTTGAAGTCCCCTTCGAGCAAAGTTAACCTTATAGAATCTTATTTAACCTTATAAAATGAGTACCGTCTGTGTTTTTATTTGGCATTCTTAACAACCACACACGACACCCCGCATTGCCAGTACGTCAAAACCGAGCACCCAGCGGAAAGAGGTAATATACAATATACACACCTATAACGCGACAAGAACAACTGTAATAGCCTGATATGTAAAATATGTACATTACTGTGTCAAACCCACATTAGCATTCTTCTTCAAACCCAGTGAAACTAGTGACAGTTCCCACAACAATACAATCTAACCGTTCGGATTGTATTGACAATAATAAAATATAAGTTACGCGACCTCTCATCCGAAAGCCTCACGCGCTGCCTAGCGATCGGCTACGTAACACCGGTAAACGTAACGCGCGTATGACACCTTAAAGCCAGAAAATTTACCCTAACAATTTCTATTGCTATTGGGTCTAAAAATATTGTGGGTTCGGAGGTACGCTAGTCCCATACGGGTCCTTTTATCAGATCGCTAATATTACAGAAATAATAAAGGAGGCTAATACAAAGGTTATGTTAAAAAAAATGAAAATTGGTTAGAATAAATGAAAAATAGTATATTATAAAGATAATAAATGAAATGTGGTATACAATAATAAATTTTGAACAAAATATGAATACAAATTTAGTTTGTGTACAATAATGATTGAGACACAATTAATGGTTACAGAAGAAAACGATTATTGGAAAGATGAAATTTAGAAATTTCCAGTTAGGGCAATCCTACAGTCAAATACTGACTACTGGAAATTCCTTGCCAAAATATTCATAAAAATATAACTGGAAGAGTAAAGGAAAATAACTCGCCAAAAATATATGTATTGTGACCCGTTATAACGTGGGTGCACTCTATACAAACTCACAATACAAATCGTTGGGCGCCAGCCACTCACTGTGGCGATTGAAGTCAAAAGGGAACAAAGGGAAAATCGGGGACTATACAGGGGATGGATTTCGCGGCTCTTCCGGGATGGCCGTAACAATACTTCGCGGGGGAGTACGCGAGGAGGATAGTTTAGGGTAGGGAAATCTCAGGGTGGGAAGGGTTCACGGAAAAGTTCCTTTACGTTACGCGTCGAGGCGGGGTCGAAATAAGGGAAATTTAAAGGGGATTGGAAAAAAGGGGGTTACGACGAAACCGCGGAGTATAAACGAGCGGACGAAGAAGGTACCGTGACTGGAGCTCAGAATCACAATTTTAGATAATATAAGGGTGTTCGAAAATGTAATTTCTACCGCCTGCACGCGGACCGCGGCAGCACTTAGCAGCGCGACCGGCAGCCACCTTGGATGCCGGTCACGCCGACCACTCAGGGAGCGTTACGTCAGCAAAAAGAAGCCAACGGTTCTTGCTGCGACGAAGCCGGTTGATCGGCCATTATTGTTCTGGTTAGCATACTACGAACACGTGCGAACACAGTTTTCTCGACAGGCAAATTTCTCAAGCTCAATCTCAGAATCTAGTACTGCAAGTTAACCGCGTGTGAAGTGCCAACGGCCAACGCGAACTCGCGATTAGCTTTGACGTACGCAAATCCACGTGATTAATATAATTACGTGGTGCCACGTGCTACGCTAACACGTGGTCCTATACAGCGCAAGCACAATCTCGAATCCACCGCGACGCGTGTGCGAATAGCTCGATCAACGATCATTGTACCTTCGTGCAACGCACAATTTTCTGTAAATAGTGTACATACTGAGTGTCTGTAAATACATTGTTTTTTGTGCAAACTCAAGTACATAATTTTCCCGTCTCACTGCCGATCCTACAACCGAACCGGTCTCGTACAATCTCAAACTCGAACGCCTACTTTTGAACATTTCTTTGGTCCTTCGAGCCGGATCGGCAGTGACGGGTTGTGCTCGGCAACAACGTTGTTAGTGAAATCTCGAACTCAGTGACTAGAATGAGTGAGAAAGGTGACAAAGTTCCCAAGGCAACGCCACAGGAAGCCAAGTCGGCCTCAAGACCGACGTCACCCACGCCGGTGACATCAGCAACGCTGACAGTGCCAACGGTACTACCGGCAGAAGCACCTCCACCGACGGTGGAAAAACGCGTAACACGCGCCTCATCTCCTGCCGGCTTGTCAACGGAGCTGTCCATGAAGGCCAAGACGCAAATGAGTAGAGTCGAGTCGAAGGCCTCCGCAAATTAATGGACAAGATGCCGGAAATGATGGATGAAACTTCTCTCGACGAGATCGACTTCATCGACAAGCAGGTCGATGAAATACACAAGGCGTTCCAAAAGGAGCATTCCTACCTTGAAGTTACCTGGCCTTCGGGTCAGAACTCCCATCCATATGTCAGCGACAATTGCTACGACCTCGAGATGAGCGTGGTCATCGAAATCAGACGACGTCTGTGCAAGTTTCGGGCCGCATTCGCAAGGCTGCACGCAGCGCGTGCAGCATCACCATCACGACAAAGGCCGTCGAAACTCCCTGAGTTGACGCTTCCCACTTTCGCGGGTCGCTATGAAGCGTGGCCTGCGTTTTGCGAGCTTTTCAAATCGATAATCATCGATAATCACCGATTATCTGATGTGGAGAGGCTGCATTACTTGAGGTCAAGCCTCCAAGGGGAGTCGCTACGCGCCATCTCCAACCTGCCGGCGATAGGAGAATCCTTCCCAATTGCTTGGAAGAATTTAAAGCAACGCTTTGAGAACAAGAGAATCATCGTACAATCTCTGCTTGACAAGCTCTGTGCGACACCACCAGTGCAACAGAAGAGCGCAATGGTTCTCCACAACGTGGCGGCCAATTTGCGCGATTTCAACACCTCGTTGCGCGCTCTTGCTTCAACCGACGAGTTGTGGAATTGCACACTCATCCATCACATCTCTCGTAGTCTTGACAAGACTACGCGAGAGGCTTGGGAAACCAGCCTAGGAAACTCTGAAGAATTTCCGAAGCCAGAGCAACTGGAGGCGTTCCTGACGACCAAGGCACGGGCTCTAGAAAGGGTTGAAACGCCAACGGCCAAAAATCAGCCTGCTCAACCTCAGGCAAAGGCGAAACCAACAGGTCAACGACCTGCCTTGACAACGTCACAGGCTAACACCACCACAAGAGCAGCCGCACACGCCTATCCGTGCGACTGTTGTCAGGCCGACCACTTCATTGTGTCATGCACAAAGTTCAGGTCGATGCCTGTACCAGAAAGACGAAGTCTAGTGGACAAACTGTCTCTGTGCAGAAATTGTTGCGGCCGTCACACCACTGCGAATTGCAAGTCTGAACACCGTTGCAAACAGTGTGGACGGCCTCATCACACAATTCTACACCTGGCTGCAACGCAGCCACAGACCACAGCCAAGCCTGCGGCAACACAAGAGAATCCGACAACGTCGTCCTCTTCAACACAAACACAATAAAGTGTAGGTGCAGTCGTCAAGCACTCAAGCACGATTTCAATGGGTCAACGATCCAGTACAACCGCCAACACAAACGATCAACGATCAAGCTCGCTTGCGACGCAAGCCGAGCTAACGCTGTTAGCAACAGCACATGCACAAGTCATCACCTCATCCACGACCTACAACGCAAGGCTGCTCGTCGACTCCGGATCGGAGCTCAGTTTCGTTTCTGAAGATCTCGTCGAACAGCTAGGACTTCAACGCACTCAATCTTCAATCTCCATCACTGGCATTGGTGGCAAGAAATCAACACAAACTCGAGGTATTGTATCACTACATTTACAATCTCTTTACAATACCTCATCGATCTCAATACAAACTCATGTGTTACGCACTCTAACCACAATTTTGCCGTCTTCTGAGGCACCCCACCAAGACTGGCCACATCTCAATCGTCTCAAGTTGGCAGATCCTGAGTTTTACAAACCACGACCCATCGACGTCATCATCGGTGCCGACAATTATGGACGAATTATAAAATCAAATGTAATTAAAGGTTCGCCATCAATGCCAGTCGCCCAGCTCTCAATATTCGGATGGCTCGTTATTGGACCAGCAAGGAGGCGTCAAGCTCGTGCTTATTCATCATTTAATGCATCAATCTCTCAAGACAGCGACGCTGCTCTGAGAGAACTGCTGACGAAATTCTGGATTCAAGAGGAGCTTCCAACGGAAAACACATCTCAACTCACACCGGACGAACAAGAGTGTGAAGATCACTTTCGTGCAACGCACAGCCGTGATTCTACTGGGCGATACGTGGTGCGTATTCCTCTCAAAACAAATACTAAAGTCTTGGGTACCTCTTACAGCACAGCTCGCTCCTGCCTGCGACGCACGCTCAGCAAGCTCACTCGAAATCCTGAGTACCGTGAGCAATATCAGCGATTCATGATGGAGTACGAGGACCTCGGTCACATGAA